GAATAGAAGACAATATCTATTTAAGGAAGATGCAGCCAAATTGTGCAGATAATGAATGACAAAGGTATTGGAAGTAGTCCACATTCCAGCCTGAACAATTTTCTCCAAAGGACATGGTGATATGATGAATCTGATGAGAAGAAATGTTGTGGAGACAGTGACCTTCCATGGTTAAGTCAGAATACACCAGCCTAACAAGTTGACAAACCCAACCAGTTAGTCTGACTATAAATGGATTTCAGGGAAGAAATAGTCAGGAATATGAACACTCAAAGGAGGCAATATGTGTCACGTAATGTCATAAGAAGTCGACCTGGATCAGAATGGGGAATAGAAGGTAAGAAAATTGGGGTGAAAGCCAGGCAGCCTTCATGGGCAGCATAGGTATTAGGAAAGAAGGACCAGTCTGGACATAGGAGGGCATAAGTGGAATGGTAGAGGATTGAGTTAACACTAATGGCATAATTATCTGATCAACGACATCTGCAAATGAGGAGAAGAAAGGGCATAAAGGACCACAATGAGATCCCAATTAGGAAATTCAAAGAAACGTGGGGATACATGATCCAAAAAGAGTGGAAAAGGGAAGAAATGATGGAAAGACAAAACCTGATGAACCTTGGAGAAATGGAAGGTGTTCAACAAGGCTGCCTGATAGCTCGATAATACAGTCAAAGTGGACAAGCCTTTGTCAAACAACCAGGTGAAGAATTGGGAAAGATGAAGAATGAAAACCATATCAAAGAGACCAAAGGCAGAAGGTAGACCACTGCCTCAGGTAAGTGGGCATGAAAGGTCATATAGATCTGGAAAGGAAAGATGTATCATGCTGAGTAAGTCCCTGAGCTGAGACAATGGACCTGACAAATGTCATGCATGAAGATGGGTGGTGACAACTCTAGATGAATAATGTCCAGTTGAGGTTAACAGAGCAGAGACAGAGGTAAGGGTAGGGGAGGTTTGATAATTATAGGTTGGAGTAGTTTGAACTACAGTTGCTGGGCCAAAATGAAGCCACCAGGAGGACTAGACACAGAGTGGTTTGGACTAGGAACAGAACTCTGTGGAGAAGTCAAAGAGGAGCATAGGTAAGCATAGATGTGGTGACCCTTCCAATTTTGACTGAATGCATCCACTCCCCAAGCTAACAGGTGTGGAATGGGAGACCAAAAGGAAGGGAGTTTGTTTTCCAGTGGGTGCCAAAAGCATCAATACCAGTCCCCAGCTGAGAGCACACTGACCAAAAAAACCTGTGGATCAAGGGACCACTCCATGGGGAGAATCTTGTTGGGTCATGATAAACAATTTGCAAATATTTTCAGAAAGCCAGGGACATGGCAAGCTAAGACCACCATGTGGTGACTGTGGGCCCAGAAAAGGAGATCCAGGGTCTGATAGCACAGACCCATATTTGGTACCCCCCTTCCTTGGTGATACAAGTGACCACTGTGGAGTTGTTGGAGTGTATTATAATGACCTTCCCCTGCAGGAGAGGAAGGAAGTGTGACAAGGCTCGATGAACTGCCATTAAGTTTGAAAATGTTGATATGGAGGGAAGACTCCTTAACTGACAAAAGACTGGAAATCTTCCAAGAGCTGAGCTAAGTACCCCAACCCTCTAAAGATGTGTCCTTGAATAGATGTAAATCTGGAGGAGGTGGAGAAAGTGGAACTCTTTCTGTGGTCTGGTTCCTATCTAGCCACCAAGCCAGGTCAGCCCTGATTGGGGAAGGAAGAGAAACAAGGTGGTCCAAGAGATCTGAGTAGAAGTTCCACTGATGAAGGAGTGTCCACTGAAGGAAACACATATGAGCTTGACCCATAGGAATGAAGGCCTCCAAGAAAACCCACATCCCCAAAAGAGACAGAACCTTGTGAGCTGTTAGAGAACATGAGGTAAGGGCCTTTTGGACTGCTTGCTCCATATCCCGAAGGCAAAAAGGAGAAGGCCTAGCCCAACTAAAGTTGGAACTGAAAAAACAACAACAAATGAACATGGTATTGAGTGGGGGTAAGGGCAGAGTTCTTCACCTTTGTTATAAATCACACTTGTGTAGCTTCCTGGAGGAGCAAACGAGTGTGGTCTCTGAACTGTGAACGGGAAGAAGAGTGAGATAAATACGTGGCCAGAGAAGACAAGGAAGAATGCAATCTAGCCACATCAATCCTGGATTCCAAGGAATCTGGATGACCTCTAAGTATGGTATTGCATAAGAAGGAGACCTAAAGCAGATCCTGAATGGATGAATGGGGGAGATGCACCTCGCAAGTAATGTATCTCTCTCCAACAAGTCCTAACAGCACATGAGCCAGGCATTAAGGAAAATGGCAAAGGCAGATAAATGAGCCATAGATAGTGGACCAAAGGAGGGACCTGATCTCACCAGAAAATAGTTCAGGGGAGTGACGAAAGACCTCTGATAATAATTGGAGGGAAGATAGGTAATGTAAAACGGAGGAGAGGGAAAAGTGAATCCTTGAAATTGATCCTGATTAAAATGAACAGTCACTCCTATATTCAAATCTAAAAAGGAAAGTAGAGGATCCAACTGGATCTGAAGAGTGATGATATGCCAGAGCATGTTGGTCCAACAAGTGAGAGGGACAGAGCACACTAACACCCAATTGAAGTTGGTCTGAAAATCTTTTAGCATGAACTTCAATGTTGGGTGAAGGGGGAAAAACAAAATTCAGAATAAGGAATTTACCCCAATAAGTAAGAGGAGGGATCATATGTGATGGGGGAAATATCTAAAATACCACATACCTGATTAACAAGCTTTATTAAAATGGTGGAAAGTGAAATCTCTTGAAAAGGTGTAGATTGTGACAAAGCAAAATAAGAAGGTGCCAGAAAAAAGATAATCCAAATTGTCTTCTCCTTGATTGTATTCTTCCTCAGAAACATCATCAGGTTGAAAAGGAGAAGAAATCGCTAGCCAAACCTGTGAATATACCTCCCTGCAAATTAAAACCTGTACCTCCTCTTCAGATAAAGTCCAACCAGAGTCCTGGGAAGTCGTACTAGTAGTGTTGTTGACTGTAACGGGAACTTCCGTATTCAATACATTGAACCTCAAATTCATACTTAGAATTCAGGAACAAAAAACAAATCCAAAAAAGAAAAAGTTGCAAAAACAATTTAATGCAAACACAGACACTGAAAATGAACAAAAAATATTTTTTTTAATGGCAAAGAAGCTCAATCAGAAATGGTAGCCACTCATGAAAAATACACATCTATATGATGTAGTGTCAATTGTGAAAGTGAGGATTTAGCAGTAATAGCAGAGGGAGTTGCACGGATATATGTGGCACAATACTATTGGTGGAGTGTAGTCACATGCTATGTGCATGTTCAATAGTGGCATGAAATTGGTGGGGTATGTGCTGAGTGTCACATTTTTTAGCAATGTTTAGAGGGCAAAAATAAGATTAAGAAAGCTTTGTGTGACAGGAGGTAAGACTGTATTGTAATTTGCATTAAAACTCAGAAGCTATAGGATGAAAATAATATTTAAATTGAGCAATTTGGAACAAACAAATGTCACATTATATATAGAGAAGTGAAGATTTACAATTCATATAAATAGCATCTTTCTGAAATTAACAAATTAAAAATATTAAATTTGATTTATTAACTATGTTTTGATGCCAAGTTTATTGACATAAATGAATAAAAGTAATTTAATTTTGAATGTAACTATAGGAAAGCCATGACATGCACTTTTACCAACCAGTATCCAATGGGTTAATCTGACTGTATGACTGGTTTTTGTTTTATATAGGATAAACCAATAAACAAGTTAGCTGTTACTGTTCATATGAATGGCTCAAAATGATTAATAAAAAAACTTGGTTTCTATCAAAGTGTTAATTTGTGATAAACTCTGCATATTATTATGGAATGTAATATTAACACTAACATTTTGAAGATCCAGTTCTTTGATTTTAAATCCTACAGAAATATAAACTAACCACATCTATCATTGGCTTGTCTATTAGTGGGGAAGTTGTTTTGATTTCAAATTCTTTGTAACTATAAACTAACCATCACATCATTGAACTTCTCTCTCTCTTGATAGGAAAGTTTCAATAAGTTGCTGAAATTAGGTTTCACCTTTCTTTTTTTACATAAATAATGGAAAGTTCAGCAGCACAGAATAAGATCTATGGCAGACAGAATTCCATGATAAATATATGATCCTACAGCTGCCTTTGATTCAAAATTCGTTGAAGTACATGTTAGTTATCAGCTTATTTAAGCAGCATAACATACATACATAGTTTGATGTAGACAAACAAGTCTTTAATTATCACATTACACAGCAAGTCTGTCTGAAGCTTGCACATTGCATGTATGATTTGTTATGTAAATATACCCTGTTTTTGACACAAGGTATCACATATACCAAAAGTAACAAAAATACCTTTATCAAACAAGCTTAATGTTTTCTACAGAATGTTCACAAAGTATTCTTGTTTTCAAGACTAAAATAAACTCTCAACAAACAGCTTTTGTTTTTAATTGCATTCAGAAAGATCAGATATTAAGTTCACTTACAAAGAGATTTGGATTTACATTTTTTATAATCTTAGGGAATAAGCAAATCAAAGTAATTTGTTTGAAAACTTTATGTTGTGTTAATCTACAAATATACTGCACTGTTAGGGTTCTAAATTATTAAAGAACAGTGGGTACATCTATTCTGGTACATAAAATAACACTCTTCATGTGACATATTCAATAAATAGCAAGTGTATTAACAAAATCAAATTTGGGTCACCCGAGTTTTTATAAATTGCAATGAAACAAAAGGACTTTCACAACAATCTTGACACAAAGAAAAAGAATAATTCATTTACAAATGAACATTTCTATGCAAGAAGTGAACCAATAAACACAACAATTGTAATGTTTGAAAGCTCTAATACCAAATTATTATTGAAAAGAAATTTTAGTGTTTTTTACTCTTTGTCAAGTATTGTAATGACCAAAACAACCACTAATTTCTGTCCAATCAACTTTCTATTTTAGGGTTAAATTCAAAATGATTTATTTTTTCTAAGTAATAATCATAAAATTTAAAATACTCATGGTCCAAGGTTATTTATTTATAAAACAAAAAGAAAAAAATTACAGGAAAAACATAAACAAACTAAAAAACCCTAGTCAACAAAACCTTGAAATCAAGTCATAATTTTAAGTCTTTTATTACATTTCTTTCATTGTCTAACACAACAGGTATAAGAATTCAGGAACATTAAATAAATTGCAAATAAAAAGACCTATCAATAGGCAAGTAAACTTTAAATATTAAAAACTTACTCCATATTATCCACTTCAGGCACTGACACTATGGACACAGTATCTGAAGAAGCCTTCTTCTTTTTTCCTTCTAACCTTGTTTCCTCTGGAGCTTTTCTCTTAACTGTTCTCACTTTATCCTTGTCAGATGGCTTTAATTTACTAGTATTGATACTCTTGTCTTTTGTACAACAAGCTTTGTCACTATCAATGGTCGTCTTGAGGTCCTCTTTTTTCACTTCTAACACCTTTATTACATTATTTTCTTTAGTAATGTCTTGAGTAACATTTTCTGTCCTTACTTTAATATCACTATCGAGTGGTGAATAAGTTCTATTAACTTGAAACTGAAGTGGAGCTGAAGGTATCCTATTAATAAGATCAAGTTTTATACTCACTAGGATTTCTGGAATGGTACTGGGTTTCTTTTCACTTTGAAATTCAAATATAGTTTCCGTTAATGGTGACAAGTTACCTTGGATGAAAGGAAGTTCCAGTCTTTCAAAAATATTGTTCTGATGTATATTTTTCTGACTAACTTCAGCTCTATCTACATCCAAGTTCTCTAGTTCTAAATGACTTGTAACTGTTGCATGCTTCGCAACACTGTCTATAACTTTCAATACATTAGAAGTTATGGAACTTTCAGGCTTTTCTTTTGATCTACCCGATTTATATTTCGAAACAGTCTTTCTTGGAGGAGTATTCTGTTTGGGAGATGAAGACCTAAGTTTCTGAGAAATAGAGGACTTGGAAGGAGTAGAGAGATGTTTACTTGTCTTCTGAACTTTAACAGGAGAAGTGATTCTTTCAACATTATCAGTACTTTCATCAATATTTGGGGTATCAGAAACATATTTTGATGTTAATTTTTGAGTTGTTTTCTCACTATTCTCACTATTAGGACATGAACTTGAGGTAGGCTTTTCAGAATCATTCACAGGTAGCTTTGGTGTTGAATTTCTTATCAAATCTCTTTTGTGTTTCACTTCTTCTTTGCTAGTTTTTAAATAAACACTCTTATTTTCTTCTTTACTCCTTGATTTTTGCAGAGCAGAATTTGTTGAGGGCAGAGTTCTTTCTTTCTTCTTTCCAACATTATGCTTAACATCTCCATCACGAGGCTGAGAAGAGAGAGTTTTTTTAATCAAATCATGGCCTTTAAAGGCACAAATGTCATCTGATTGGTGTTCAGATTTATTTGCCAGTGTAGGTGAAGCCAGGAAAGACTCGATGGAATCTTTTTTTGTTGAGATAAGTTTCTGAGCAGGAGACCTTTTCAGAGGATCAACAACACTATTTAATTCCTCAACATTATCAGTCTGCTTCAAAGAAGGGTGAATTACCTTCTTAGGCTGAGAAGGGCATACCCTTTTTTCATTGCCTATGATCTCAGACCAGTTACTACCCATTTTTACATCATCTTCCCATTGCTTACTATAGGAGGAGAATGGATTATCGATGAACATGCTGTCATCAGGTTGAAAGCCAGGTGGTAAATGTACTGGGGATAACAATATTCTGACTTCGGTATTTCCTAAACCAGCTGCGATGCGTAGCTCTGCACTAGAACTATAAAATAAGAAACATAATTATCAGTAGACAAACATAGATTTGATGTCAGTTTTATCACAAACAGAAAAGAAACATTAAGAATGACACATGGTCTATGAATAACCAAAAAATAATCTTCCAGAAGAGTATAATGTGACAATACTAAGGAACTTATTAACAAAACAAAGAGAAAAGCTCAGATGACATGTTCTACTTCAAAATGAAAAATCGCAACGTGACACTTTCCAAAAGCAACTGATAACAAAACAAACCTAAAGTTTTTAGTTTATGTTTGGGCTTGGAGAACACGTCTCTAAGTTTAGTGATATAAATTCTCTAAAGACTAATTATTTCACAAATTCTCATCTTCATACTGTAGTTGGATTTCTAAGGTTTACAGCAACAGATTCCAAAAAAAAAAAACCAATGTGACCAGTATAATTCCACATGCTTCAGATAACTCACAGCTTCATATTCCGAAAACCTCAGAAACTTTACATTACTTCAGATGACAAGTCTTTTTCCAAGAAAACTTGTGAAACTGATACTGTAAGTGAAATTATTTCAAAGATCTAATTACTGTCTATTTGACTTTATCTCTTCCATGCATACAACCATAAGACTAAGAAACTGATTTCTATGACAAATCTGAAATAAAAGTTATTAAAAAAACATGAACTTTTAAAACAACTAATACAGGAAAATTTGAAATAAAGCAAGAAATGAGACTTTCCTGTTGGTGAAGACAGCAAGTACTGTTTATCCAACATAACGGTTTATTCAGAACAAATAAACAAACAAATAAAACATAACCTAACCAAAATAAGTCTTTTAAGGCATTTGAATGTGATGAAACAAATAAACACTTAAAAAAAAAAACTAAACAGAAAAGAAAAATGCAATTTTTTTTAAAATGCTTGCATGTTTTTATTATGTTTAAATGACTTCCATTGGTCTTTATTCAGTTTAAATTTGTTGTCTCCACCAACTGACTGGCAAGTTTCATTTCTTTTCCATGTGGTAATCCAATTTTCACTCAAACTTATGTTGAGTTACATTACTTCTGGCTGTCACTAAAGAGTTTTGAGTGACAAGACTATCCATCCAAACATGCCAAGGAAATTATGTCATACATGGACTAAATAAACAAAGACAGAAAAAGAATAAATTTGGAATAAGCTTATTATAATGAATCTCACTATAAAACAATCCATTATGTGCGTGTGATTTAGCATTTGTCACCCAGAGTTGGCTGGCTTGATTACTATAACTTTTTGTATATTAATTGGAAACTGTCCAACAGTGTAAATGACCTATTTCATTTTAGGTTTTTTTTCTAGAGAAGGGAGATAAACATCCTGAACTAAGACTTTTGGCTCTGAAATTAAAGACACAAGTACTTAATCAGTTAAATGAGTCAATTATTATCTTCCACAAAGCAAAGTATGCAATTAGCATCTAGTGAGGTCATAAGAAATTTAATAACAACAAAAAACGAAGGCAGGGGAACATTATCTAATAATTATTTTCTTTTATTTTAATTTTTGCTTTCTGAATGGGTACCTTTAGTTAGTACATTTAAAACCAAGGAAATAATATAATTTCCTATATATGCAGCATAATTAAAAAAGACATGGGTAACTTTCCAAAAAACAGGAATATTTGAAATATTACCACTAGAGTGTAGAAAAATAAAAGTAATGAAACAAAATAAATAGAAGATTTTTTTTAAGAATAAAAAGACAAATGGAGAAGTAGAAAATATATTTTGCAACAGTGTACACAACTGAACAGAAAAGCTGAAGGTAAGAAGATTGAACTAAAAAGACAAATATTGTTTACAATACCTCCTGTGAGCTTCATTTGATCCTTCGATTGGAGTATTGCTGAGAGAATCTTGATCAGAGATCTGATTAGTGCTAATTTGTGACTTCTGATTCTGTTCTCCTCCTGTGGATAAATTCCCAAATGGAATCAAAGGAGAAGAAGCATCTTTGTCCACAAAATTGGCAAGACGCCAGCTCTGAGTTTCAGGCTACAAAGAACAAAAAAAGCCTATGACACAGTTTCTTTTTTTTTTTAAACTGAGGAAATAAACGTTCCTAAAGAAAGTAATTAACTGACAGCCTGATGCAGACAGTACTTACTACATGACACTTATATGTACAACCAAATACACTAAAATGAAATTCAGACATAGCTATGAGGAATACAGTATCTAACCATGTTCAAACTATGACACTCACCATATACTTTCATAATTTGTAAAAAATAAATAAAATCTTATAACTTAGTTTTTTATTCTTGGTGGCTTTATCACCTCCTTTTAGAAACTTACTCTTGAACTCTTGCAACTGATGTATGAGAATTTAAGGTTTAAAAGCTTTTAATACACATTGAAACCATTAAATACAAAGTGCAAACACTGACTTAGTTAGCAACGCATCTGATTAAACAACTGAAAACTGTTGGTTTGATTGAAACTTTCAGGAGACTCTGAAAGATACAGTACATTAAACCTGCAGAGCTTGCTTACTTGTGGATAGGTTCATGGATGGACGATTGTTGTATTAAAAGGGAAATTGGCAGATCAGTAGCAGAAATCAAGCAATTGGAAACTTGATAGCTTTACTCCTATTTTATAAGGGGGTGATAAGATTTGCCCTGGAAATTATACACCAGCTAGTCTTACTTCTGCAGTGGGAAAAATTCTCAAGAATGCAATAAAACAAGCTTGACAATCATTTAGTGAAATATAATACCATAAAAGAAAAACAACGGGGATTCACTGCATGGAAATCTTGCCTTACTAATCTCTTAACTTCCTTCAAGGATGATACTTGCCATGTGAATAAAGGAAAGGGGCATGGACATGATTGTAACATGATTTTCAAAAAGCTTTTGATAAGGTACTACATAGAAGATTAGCTAAGAAAATCACATCAGTATGGGTTGGGGAAAGTCTAGTTAATTAGATTTTAGGTGGCTTGTCGAGAGAAAGTGTAAAGTTGTTATTAATGGAGTCCACACAAACTGAACACTTATTATCAGTATAGTGCCTTAGGGGTAGGACTTTGCTTTTTCTTACATTATTGATATTGTTGGGGCACAATATGTAAAATTTGCTGACAACATTAAACTTAAGTATTTCTAATTCTACTGAGGATACTGAGTGAGGTAGTAGAGTATAACTTTGATCAATTGGGAAGTTGGACAAATATTTGGAAAAGGGGCCTTTAATTATATTAAATGTAATGTAATGCATTTGGGTTATCATAACTTGGATGGCATGTTTAATATAAACTGTAACTTACTGAACAATGAGACTGAAGAAAAAGATCTTGGTAGTAGTGGATAACTCAAGGTGCTGAGTTCTATTGTTAGTAGTAGATTTTTGGGTGTATTTATAGATATATCAATTACAAGCGAAAAGCAGTAATTATTTCTCTATATAAATTACTAGTTATGAAATTAATTGAAATACAGTTTTGATGTCCATACCTAATGAAAAATGTCGCCTTACTGAAAGGGTTCAAAGAATGACTACTAAGGTGATTCCAGGGATAAAAGAGTTATAAGGACGGATCATGATTTCTTAACGTATTTTCTCGTCAGAATAACAGATAATATTATTGAAGCTTACAATAGCATTAAGGTCTCTGCTATCTTTTTGCTTTATTCTAAAGATAATAAATTGGGTGAAAGAACACAAGTATAAGATTTGGAAAAAGACAGGCAGTTAAGCCAGGTCTATTTGTCAAATGAGGTTATTAACTTATGGAATCAGATGCCTTTGGAAATATGGAGTCTGGTACTTTACAAGAGTTTAAAAAAGGAAATGATGGTATCCTGAAAACTAAAGGGTAAGTTTAAAGTTTTACTTCTCCTAAGGTTGGACATGCAAGGACAACTCTGAAAGACCAAGTGGCTCCTTACCGAACTTTACCATGATTAAAATTGTAGTCATTTATTCAAGGAATATTTTTAGAATAGCATAACCATTTACAAACTCCAAAAACAACAAAACCTACAAAAAGAAAAAGTCATAATTTTAGTAACGTTTTAAAACAAGTTAATATGTACAAACAAAAGACAAAGTCATTACATGTATATTAATATCAAAATATTTTTCAAGCAACAAAGTACAAAATAACATAATACATTTCTTGTCCTGCAGTTGCAGCACAAAAATGTCTAAACTGTACAGTATTGCTTCATTATAATGCTACCATCGAGAGCCAATTGCACCCGAGAGCGATTTAAGTGAGAGAGTGTTATAACCAATTAGTTAAACCATTTCTTCTTTAACGTCATATATGACCAGACAGATGGAATCCCCCACTGGATCCAATGTTAGCCAATAGTTTTCTATGCTACCATGAATGCAAGTACCTAGAAAACTGCCTATGTGACTTTAAACCTGTCCTTTACAAACGCTATGTCGTCAACATTTTCTTGCTATATCGACAATAAAGTCACCTTTCTTACCTTAATTCCCAACATCCCAATATGAAGTTCACATCTGAACTTGATATTCACATCTCTGGACTTTGCACTCGAGACTTCCAGCTTATTGTTTTTTTTATCTTGTGACAGAGTGTAATGACTTTAGCCTCTGAAGCCATGAACTAAGGCAGCATATGACACTAAAGTTAGGGGAGCCAAGGCACCAAGGCACTTATCTGAGAAAGCATTATAACTGAAGGGGTTATAATGAGGCAGCACTGTATAATAAACCTCACCTTCTATACTATTAGCACATCCAGTAAAACTAACTTCTCAGTCACTTACAGCTCAAAACATGCCTAATTTTAGTGTTTGTTGTCCACCCATGATATATATATCCACCAATACCATTATCATTCTTGAGACACAAGAATAATGACTAATTCATTTCCCTACTCTAATACCTTAAAATTAGAACATTTATTAACATTATATAATTAACCTTCTTCTACACTTGAGCAGTGAGATTAAAACATTCAGACTCACTTCTTGAGTTTACTTTTTAAACACCGCTTCAGTAGCATTAAAAAAGATAAGTTGATCACTTTTACAGAACTAAATGTGGTGGATGGTTTATTTTAGAAGTAATGATTATTCTGTATGTAGACATTGGGGACCTGGTAAAATCCTACATAAAATTCACCTTTTGCTCCATTTCTGTGACAGAGTCTTCACTTGATGCACTGCTGTCACTGTCTTCAGAATCAGATGTACTGTCTTCAGAGCTACTAGAACTACTGTCAGAACTGGACGATTCTCTCCGAGAAGGAGTAGCTGGACAATGGTTGCCATTTTCTGATAATCTACAATGTACAACATTAAAAGTTTAACTACTTTAAATAAAAAATTGATACAAGTTTTGGAAATATTAGTTCCTGACATTATAAAATAGAATTCATAAGTCACATCAAATAATCATTCCAATTTCATACTATCAATGGAGAAAATAATCTTGTATACTTTAACAAGGTTAACAACAACAAATGTTTTTGAACTAGTTTATTTAGTCACTTATAAATTTATCCCAAAATAATGCACAAACAAGGTATATTTCATTTACACTAAAACTCAAACAACACTATGTTTCCTAATTTATTTTATTCAAATTTTCTGAAACATTTGTAACACTGAGGTAAAACCCACCAATATTATCACATTGAGTGGTAACTAGGCTATTTTCAAAAGACCATATTTCCAGAAGTTAATAGAATTATCAGTTTCATGAAGGATTTATTTTCTTGTATATAAAAGGTAAGCACCACAAGAACAAGTAAGAAAATAAAACTAAACTTGACTGGAAAGAAGTTTACAATTTTGTAAGGTACATTCTTCCTTTTCATCTACTTGAACATGCTTCCTTTTAGTTTAAACTTTTTTCTTCGACAAATACAGAAAACATTTTTTTGCAAAACAAACCCAAACGAAACACCAGCAACATTAAGTTTATAAAACCTTTTATCTTTATACTAGTGACTGTTAAGCAATAAACAATAACAACAGGATTCAGTAACAAATTCTGAGATACTTATAATTATGAAACATTTCTTTGTGTCCTGTGATAACCAATGGCTGAAGAAATGAAAGTACTATAAAAAACAAATCACTATGAAATTTCCAGCCACACCTATTAGTAACTATTATAAATTGGAAGCATCCACAGTAAAATGGGTAGAGATTTATTTAAAGGTAGCCACTGCAGTATTATCAACCATATAGATTCACAGTAGAATGGGTAGAGATTTATTTAAAGGTAGCCACTGCAGTATTATCAACCATATAGATTCACAGTAGAATGGGTAGAGATTTATTTAAAGGTAGCCACTGCAGTATTATCAACCATATAGATTCACAGTAGAATGGGTAGAGATTTATTTAAAGGTAGCCACTGCAGTATTATCAACCATATAGATTCACAGTAGAATGGGTAAGATTTATTAAAGGTAGCCATGCAGTATATCAACCATATAGATTCACAGTAGAATGGGTAG